CCCAGCCCTCCATTGCCCCCCCAAGCCCCCCAGCCCTACCTCTCTCTCCGGGCAGCCCTGCAGGAAAGATGAGGAGGGGCTGCTGCAGAGCCCAGCCCTCCATTGCCCCCCCAAGCCCCCCAGCCCTACCTCTCTCTCCGGGCAGCCCTGCAGGAAAGATGAGGAGGGGCTGCTGCAGAGCCAGCTTGGGGCAGGACCCCCGGGGACGGGGTCCGGCCACACCTGCGTGGCTGGGGGCATATGGGGGGGCTGAGCCTTACCGGGGGGGCCCATGGGACCCTGTTCTCCATCCTTGCCCGGGGGCCCAGCGGGGCCAGAAGGGCCTGTCTCGCCCATGGGGCCAGCAGGTCCAGGGGGGCCGGGGGGGCCTGCAGGGAGGAGGGCGTTAGAGCCACCTTGGCCCCACGGCCGGTGCCCCACGCGGGACGTCCCCTTGTCCCCACACTGCCAGCCCCAGAGCCAGGATCCTCCTGCGGTCCTGTGCCCCACACCACAGCATCACCCAGCCAAGGCCCTGCCTCCCCACACCCATGGCAGCACCCCTGCTGACCCCGTGTCCCCATATCCCCACAGCCCCACATCCCCGTGTCCCCACATCCCCGTGTCCCCACATCCCCACATCCCCGTGTCCCCACATCTCCCTGTCTCCACATCCCCACATCCCCGTGTCCCCACATCTCCCTGTCTCCACATCCCCACATCCCCGTGTCCCCACATCTCCCTGTCTCCACATCCCCACATCCCCGTGTCCCCACATCTCCCTGTCTCCACATCCTCACACCTCCCCATCTCCCCACACCTCCACCACCGTTCCCACAGCCCCATGTGCCCTCCACGCCCCACGTCCCCTGCATGCCCCCGTCCCACCAATCCCTTACCCCCCAGCTCTCCGCATCCCCGCAGCCCCCCGCGGTGCCCCACGTCCCCCCGGCGTCCCCCCGCGTCCCCGCACCGTGTCTCTCCAGCCGTGCCAGGCGCTGCAGCTCCCCGCGCAGGTGGCCCAGGCTGGCGTTGAGGGCACCGAGCCGGGCCGGCAGCTCCAGCGCCTTGTCCAGCAGCGCGGCCTGCCCGCGGGCCGTGGCGTTCAGGTCCCGCACGGCGCCCCACAGCCCGGCCACGTGCCGGCCCAGCCCCTCGCGGACGCCCCGCAGCCCCCCGGCCACCGCCTCCAGCTGCTCGCAGACCCCCTCCAGCTTGGCCACGCGTGGCTCCAGCCCCGCGGGGCAGCCCCCGGCCCGCGACAGCTCCCGCGCCAGCGCCTCCAGCCGCTCCTCGCTCTCCGCCTGTCGCGCCGCCGCCGCCGCCGCCGCCCGGTCCAGCTCGGCCACCACGCGGTCGGTGGCGGCGCTCAGCTGGCGCTGCCGGGCGTCCTGCTCCTCCAGCGCGTCCTGCAGCCCCTCCACCGTGGCGTTGAGCCCGCTCAGGGCCGCCAGCGCCGCCGTCAGCTCCCCCCGCAGCACCCGCAGCTCCGACGGGGACGGGCCCCCGAAGATGCCGAAGCCCTCCAGCGGTGCCTCCGGCTCCTCCGGCTCCGCGGGGCCGGCCGGGGGCTGCTCCGGCTCCCCGGGGGGCGGCGAGGCGCAGGGCCGGGCGCAGGGGTCGCCGCCCAGCTCCTCCAGGGCCGCCTCCAGCCGCCCTGTCCGGTTGCGGAGCTGCTCCAGCTCCTCGGCCAGCGCCTCCCCCTGCAGCACTCCCAGGGTCCCGGTCAGCCCGTCCTCCCAGAGACCCTCGGTGTCCCCTGGCTGCCGGAGGTGCGGGCCGAGCGCCCCGTCCTGCCCCGGGCACGGGGGGCCGCAGCGGGCCAGCAGCCCCTCGAGCTGGTCCAGGCGGGCGCCGCGCTGTGCCCCGCTCGCCGCCAGCCCCTCCACGGCCCGGCTGAGGTTGGCCAGGCGCCCCGGCAGCCCAGCCGGCCGCCCCTCGGGCTCGGAGGGCCACGGGCCGGCGTGCGAAGCGTTCAGCCGCCCCTCCAGCTCGGCCAGCCGCCGCGCCAGCACCGGTCCCTGCCCCGGCCCCGCTGCCGGCACCGGCAGCCCCTCCAGCCGCCGCTCTAGCTCGGCCAGGCGACGGAGCACGTCCGGGGACGGGGGAGCCGCCGGGACGGGGGCCAGGCGGCTGCTCAGGCTGCTGATGTGCCTCTGCACCGACTCCACCGCATCCCTGTTGCGCTTGTCCACCGAGCCCACCAGCTTCTCCAGCGCCCGCATCCGCTCGCGGTCCTCGGCCGCCTGCCGCCGCAGCCCCTCGGTGCCGGTGGTGCAGGCAGCGCACAGCTCCTGCAGCCGCTGCTCCAGCTCGTGCAGCGCCGCCGTCCCCGGGCCCCCCGGAGCCCCTGGGCCGTCCCGGCCGCCCTCGGCGCGGTGCAGGCGGGTCTCCAGCTCCTCCAGGCGCCGCTGAAGGTGGCTCAGCGCCTCCCGCACTTCGGCGGGGGCGGCCGCGTCAGCCGGCTGCTCGCCCCCGGGCTGCCCCTCCACAGCCGCCCGCGGCGGCTCCTGCCCGGCCCGCAGCTCCTCCAGCTGCTCGCTCAGCCGCCGCACCTGCTCCTCCAGCCGCCGCACCTTCTCCGAGTCTCCGCCGCCTGCCGTGCACCGCCGGGGTCGGGGTCAGGGGCAGGGGCAGGGGCAGGGGCAGGGGCAGGATCAGGGGCAGGATCAGGGGCAGGATCAGGGGCAGGGGCAGAGGCAGGGACAGGGGGAGAATGAGGGGCAGGGGCAGGATGAGGGGCAGGGGCAGCATCAGGAACAGGATCAGGGGCAGAGGCAGAGGCAGGATCAGGGGTAGAGGCAGGGGCAGAGGCAGGGGCAGAGGCAGGGACAGGGACAGGGACAGGGACAGGGGCAGGGGCAGGGGCAGGATCGCCCTCAGGGGAAGGGACAGGGACAGGGGCAGAGGCAGAGGCAGGATCAGGATCAGGGGCAGAGGCAGAGACAGGGGCAGGGGCAGGATGAGGGGCAGGGCCAGGGCCACAGCAGCGCGTTCCCCTCCCCCGCACCCCCGCTCCAGCACTACCTTCGCCCCCCAGGCCACTGAGGGGGTTGCCGAAGCCAGAGAGCGTGGGGCGGCCGGGCCGGGGCGGGGGGCGGCCGGTGGGCTGGGGGGATGCTGGGGCGGGCCCCTCGCTGCAGTCCGGCCCCGAGTAGCCCTGGCAGCAGCGCCAGGCCAGCTCGGACACCGTGCGCTGGGACACCTTGTAGCGGGGCCGGAGGAAGCTGCGGTACCTGCAGGGGGAGGGGACGGGCTTGGGGGACCCCAGGAGGGGCGCGGGGCTGCCCCAAGGAACCGGAGCCAGCACAGGCTGCGGCCTGACCCGGCCTGACCCAGCCCGTGCCTCGCTCAGCGGCCGGGGGCTGCCCCTGCCCAGCCCTGTCACCCTGTCACCAGTCCCAACAGCGGTGTCACTGGTGTCACTGCTCTGGTCTAGAGAGCTGGGGGGTGCCTCAGGGCTGCACGTGACGAGCGGGGGGGACAGTGTCCGGTCACCCTCCGGTCACCGCTTGAGGCCACTGACTCTTGCGCAAGAGTAAACATGCCCCCAGGGTGGGTAAACACCAGTGGCGGCGGCGCGGCCGCGCCTCCCCCGGCTCTGTGCTGCCCCCCAGAACGCCCCGAACGCCCCCAGCCCCACTCACGCCAGGACTCGGGGGCACTGGAGCTGCCCCCAGGCGCAGGGCTGGTAGTCTGGCTTGATGAAGCTCTCGACGCCATCCTCCACCACGCAGCTCACGCTGCGTGTCACCACGTAGGCACACCAGTTCCTGCGGAGGGAGGGGGTCATGGCACACACCCGGAGAGCGCTGGCACACGGCACCACCCCGGCACACACCGGGCGTGGTCCTGGCACGGACCGAGCACGGCACACGCTGGGCATCATCGGGGCACCACCTGGGCACACACCGCGGGCTGTCCTGGCATCCAGGAGGCACCATCCCGGCACGGAGCAGCCACTGGCACTGCCCTGGCACTGCCCTGGCAGCACAGCGGGCGGTGCTCCGGCACACACCATACACAGCATCCCGTCACACACCAGGCATTGTCCTGGCGTAGAGCGGGCACCAGGCATCACCCCGGCAGAGACACAGCAACACCCCTGCCCGGGCCTTGCCTGGCACCCCCCGGCTCCCCAGGCACACCCCGCATCCCCCAGCACACCCGGCCCCTCTGGCCACACCCCGCATCCCCCGGCGCGCTCCCGTGCTTGCCCGACCAGCCCCACCGGTAGCACCGTCACGCCCAGTGCGGCGGGTTAACGGGCCGGATCTTGCCCCACCGCAGCCTCCCAGCCATGCCTGGCGACCCCCGCAGACACGGCTGCAGCCCCCCGCCGTGGCTGCCCCGCAGGGATGGGCTCTGCCAGGAGCAGGGTGCCCACAGCCCATCACGCCGGCCCGGGGAGGGCACCCTGAGCGCTGCCCCACCAGCGACCCCGTGTCCCCCGCCCGCTCGGGGCAGCAGCGGCGGCGGCAGCCGCGCACGGGTCCCGGTCCCCGGCCCCCCCGCGTGGGACTGCAGCCTGGCCCCGCTGCCGGGACCCCGGCGCAGCCTTATATGGTCGGGACCCAAAGCCGGGGCCCCCGGGCAGCCCCCCGGGGAGCGGCCCCCGGTCCCCGCCGCGGGGCCCCGGTGCGGCGGCCGGTTCCCGTCAGCCCGGCTGGTTCCCCTCAGGCCCCGGCTGGATTCCAGCTCCTCCCCGGGGGCCGCCGGGAATTCCTGCGCCGACCGACGGCCCCCCTCTTCTCCCACCCCATCCCAGCCCTGCACCCGCCAGGCCCCGGGACCCCCGGGCTGCCCTGGGGTCCCACCGCCCCGCTCCGGGGCTGTCCCCATCCCGGGATGGGACCAGAGCTCCCCTGAAAGGGCAGGGTTGGGGGACACCCCCGTGCTCCCCGAGCCGCGGGGATGGAGAGCTGCACACCCCGACCCGTGGAGAGCCCCCCTGAGCCCCCAGAGCCGCAGGTAAAGGCTCCACCGTGCCCGTGCCCCACGGCCCCGCCGGCGGCGCCCCTCCCCGGGGACCCCAGGCTGCGGCCATCCCCCCCGGGGCCACCGTGGGGCCGGAGCAGCCGCAGCCGTGCGGCCGCGCTGATGTGTCCGCGGTGAACACGCTGTGACCCCAACCCAGCGTGGGGCCGCCCCCAGCCCTGCGCCCCCGCAACGCCCCCGACCCACGGCCCCGGGCTGCCCCACGCTGCCCGCGGTACCAGACGGGACCGGGATGGGCAGAGGGCGGGTCCGGGCCTCCGAGCCCCTCTCCGGCAGCGCTGACCCACGCGTGATGCCGAGCACGGACCGGCCCGGAATCCTCGGCCCCGCTGCACCGGCGGCCCCGACCCTCCACGTGCGCCCACTGCCCGCCCGTCCCGGGCCTGGGGGTGACGCCCCCGCTTAGGGGACCCCCCGCTCCTCCCGCCGCCCCCCGGCCTGGACGTGGCACGTGCCGGGCTTCCCGTGGCATCGGGGCGGGGGCTGCAGCCCGTGTCCCCGCGTCCCCGCCGCCGCCCGGGTCGCCCCGGTGCATCCCGGTGCTCGTGGCTCCTACCTGTGCCGGCTGGCGGCCCGGGCACCGCCGTGGGCCGCGGCCGGGCCGGGGGCGAGCGGGGCGGCCCCGCCGGTGTAGAGGCTGTACCGGGGGGGGAAGTTGGCGGCCAGGGCCTGCGCGGCCAGAAGGCACGGCCAGAGCCAGGGTGCCATGCTGGGCTGGGGCGGCTCCGCTCGGCTCGGTCAGCGCGGCTCAGGACCGCATGTGGTGTCCCGTCGCGGCTCCGCGGCTCTGGGCGGCTCGGCACGGCTCGGCTCGGCTCTGCCCTCCCCCCGGCCGCCCCTCGGCCAGCCCCTCGACATCGCTCCGCACGGCCGCCGCTAGCACCGGTCCCGCACCGGTCCCGCACCGGCTTCGCGCGGTGCCCCGCGTCTCCCCGACCGCCGGTGGGCTCGCTCCTCGCCCCCGCTCTGGGCACGGCGGCGGCAGGTCCCTGCACCGGCACCGCGCCCGGCAGTGCCACGTCCCCGCGGGCCCGTGAGCCCGCGCCAGGTGACGCGTCCCGGTGCCGGCACCGAGCCCGGTGCTGCCCCGCGCCCCCGGCCCCACCCGACACCGTGCTGGGGACACCGGGGACACCGGGGACACCGCGACGGCGGCGGTCACACCGCGGCCACCCCGGGCCGCCGTGGCCCCGAGCCCACGGTGATGCCACGGCTTCCCCGGACCTGGCGGTGACGTCACGGCCTCACGGTGACATCACGCGTTGGCCGCGGCCCCGCGGTGACGTCAGGGCGCGGGAACCCCCCGCCCCGGGGAGCCGCGAGGGAGGGTTAAGCACAAACAGCTGGCGGCAGCTGGAGCGGGAGCGAGCGAGGGAGGGGACACCGGGGAACAGGACGCGGAGCCGAGGGGCCCGGGCTTGGCCGGGTGCCAGCCGTGCCGGCTCCCGAGGGGACGGCGGCACCTCCGCTGCGCTCTCGGGGGCCCTGGGGGGGGCTATGGGGGGCCATGGGAGGGCTATGGGGAGCTGCGGGGCTCAGGGGGACCAGGCACCCCGCCACCGGGACCGGCAGCGCGCGCCAGGACACCGCACCCGGCCCAGTGCGGCCGCGCGCTCCGTGCACGCGGCTCCTGCGGCCCGGCAGCCTCCAGTACGGCCCAGTACGGCCCAGTACGGACCAGTACGGACCAGTACGGCCTAGTACGGCCCAGTACGGCCCAGTATGGCGCAGTACAGCCCAATATGGCCCAATGCTGCCCAGTACGGCCCAGTACGGCCCCACTACCCCCCCAGTACACCCCGGTACAGCCCAGTACCCCCCAGTACACCCCAGCACAGCCCAGTATCCCCCCGTAGAAGATCGGAA